GGGAGAAGCGATGGGAAGTCAGGTACCACCACTTGAAGGGGGCAAGAGGAGTCGTTGTTCACGGAACACGGGTTTTTGTTGCAGGAAATCGCTCACACAATATTCTCGAAATGTCCACTGAAGGGGAAGTTATTGGAGCAATTGTAATTGACGGCGTTAACAACCCTCATAAGTTGTGTGTCAGCCCCGGTGGTGACCGACTACTGGTTACTCAGCATCATTTGACCTTGCCCAAGGTTGAAAAGAACATCGTGAAAATTTTTAAATTACCGAAAAGAAAAATATGACAATGTTACTTGTATTTAAATTTATTTATATTATTCATCATGCAACATATTTACTTGATAATATTTAACATGTCAGTCTTCTTCTTTTCATCTTAATGCTGTGTAGATAGTACATCCATTGTGTATTTATTTATCACAGAGTTTATGTAATTTATGTAAAGAATTTTTAGAGAGGGTTAAAAACAGTAATTGCTTTTGAAATAATTGACTTCATTTTTTCTGTCGGTTGGCACTCAAAAAACGTGTATTTTCAATTTGACAGAAATTTATCACCATGTATAAATTTTAAAAAAAAATTTCATTTGCTCATAAATCAGAATTGTTTATATTATTTGCGTTTGAGCAAGTTAAGTAGTTTTTTAAATAATATATGCCAGTCATTTGAAAGTCGTTTGAACCTGATCCCAACACTGATGTTTAGAGGGTTGTATTTGTTCTGTCCCCGATATGTATTATTTCCAGGGAGTATTGAAATCGTATAAAATACATTATCTCCATATTTCACAAAAGCTGTTCCTGATCGGAAGGTTGTGGGTTCCAGCCCGAGCTGCGACCGAACTAAGTCGATAAGACATAGATGGTAAATGTTCCTTCGCCAAGCGCCCGCATCTTTAAGTGAAGGTTCAGGTCCTTAGGATGAGTCCTTAAAAATCAAGACCCTTGTCAGGGTAGGCGTTGACACGATAAAGAATCCTCACTGGTTAATGACCCTGAGTGCCGAGTAATTGTGAAAATTTGAAGCCTTTCACTGGTATATGATGACGTCTCTATGTGAGTTAAAATTCTCGAATGAGACGTGAAACAAAATACAATTAATCAAAAGGGCGGTCGAGAATTTTTTTTCAAAATCTATAACTAATCAATATTTATAATGACTGGTTTTTCTTAAAAAGTGTACCTTAATGAGTATTTATGCTGTACTAGTGTCTGGTTTTTGACTAAATGAAATATCAAAAGTATATTTGCTAATATGCCATATTTATTCAAATACATTTGGTTCAAAAGAATATTATTCTTCCTCCTTTCCATTGCTTAACTATGAAACAAAATGGTAAAGAGAGTTTAAAAGCTAGCAGGGACGAAACGGCGGTATATGAATACTGTATTATCCTCTTTGCTGCTTCTTAAAATTGCTAAAGAACAATTGACATTTAAAAAAAACTATAAATACCCCGGTAAGCATTAATTCAAACTATAAAATATATCAATAGATATGATATTCTAATCTATCCAAAATGGTGATAGCTTTGAAATGCAGTGTCAGGAAATAAAACATACAGATAACGGATATTATCAAGCTGAAAAGTCAATTGAAACAAAACAAAATGACAGCAGAGTAAACACTGCCCTCTTAAAAAAAGGAAGAGCCATCATCTGTTAGATTCTATATGAGAAAAAAATCTTTTGAGACAGGAATAGGCATGACATGATTCACAACAGTATTTTAAAGTCAAAGAAAATAATAATGACCTTGCTCTAAAAATAAAAAGGTCAACTTTTATCTCGTTGAACAAAAATCACTTTGTAATATTGCTTCCTTGAATGAAAGATGTGGATATAACGATAAGTATTCAAGCTCAAAAAGTCCATTAAACATTAAGATATAGCAGGGGAGAAAACACGGACCTTCAGAACATTAGAGGTGGGATCAGATGCCATGGAGGAGTGAGCATCCCTGCCCACCGGTCACACCCACCGTGTGCTTTTTATCATGCATGATCGGGAAATTAAGGGTAAAAATCAATGGACAACTCAGTAAATAATAGTCTAACAATCTAAATTTGAAGAATTTAAAAGACACTGGCAGGAAATTGATGTTAAATTGTAAGAACTCAAAAATCTTTTTTTTAAGTAATAGTATTCTGAAGTGACCTTTCTTTCTCATCTCTCTTCCCTCTTCCCTCTCTCCTTTCTTTCTCCATCTTTCCTTAACTTCTTAAAAATTTCTTTCACACTTTTTCTTCCTTGTTTTGTATGTGATCTTCGATTGTTTGTATCTGTATTGCAATTTGTGTGATTGAAAAATAATTTTTTTTTAAAAAAAAGTCTAACTTATATGAAAGGTATAAGAGTATGAAAAAGGTCAGTCAGCATTTGACTGGATGATAAATTGTATTTGCTGATAAGGTCATTGTATCAACCATAGAACTAATGAAATGACTCTAAACGAGACTGCTGATATTCTATGATGAAACCATATTTTTATTTCGTTCTTAAGTGCAATAAATATGTGCAGAATCACTTATAAACAAAGAGCCGCCTTCGTGAAACACAGAATTGAGCCTCAAGCAGCATGCGTGTTTCATCCCTTAAAAATGTAATTCACGTGTGCTAGGTGCATACCCAAGTGGATCTTTAAAAAAATCCACAAACGATACAAATCAAATAAAGAGGGCATAAAACATGTACCCCTGGAAATTCGAGAGGAATTAGATATATATAATTCAATGTTTAAATAAAAAGAGGAATTGTTAATTTATGAAAATAAATGTTGAAATAAAAAAGGTCAAAAATTTTCATTATTTATATACTACATAGTAATTTTCCACAATCAACTGTATGTATATTTAACACTCAGAAGCATGTTCTGAGTATGAAAATATTATAATCCAGTGTAGGCGCCTGTATTCTTTATATCAAGGAAGTCAGAGACGAAGCTACAAAATTCTGTTTTAAACGATATATAGATACATGAATATAGAGTTTCTTCTCAAATCGAACTTAAAATAGAAAGAACAGGTGGCCCAATTTTTTTATAAAAGTATACATGTATATGATTTGATTCATTATTAGCCTGGAATTACGGAATTAATGATTTTAGTTCCGTTTATAAGTATCGGTAATCTTTAAAAGAAAATTTGGTAAAGAGAAAATAAATTGCGATAAAGTGATAAACTTTGGCATATCATTTCAACTTGTTGAAATCAAAACAACAAATATTATCATTTTGGTGCAAAGTGAATTCTGATGAACCTCAATTTTACGATGGTTTTTATGTGTACTTATAGCCCATCCCTACTGGTGCCCCAGGGTGACCAAGAAAATTCCAAAACCTTATGACATAATCAAACAAAAATCATTGTCCATGGTATAATTAGGCTATTGAGTAAATTGTAATCGGAGTTCTTGGAACCTTTTTTGAAGATTCCACATCCTTATTGCACATCTACATGACACAACCACTTATTTTCAAAAAGATTATTTGCCTTCTGCGAAAATTGTATGAGACGTTTTAGGGAACCTATTTTTTTTTTTAAAGACCCTTGCAACAGGTTGAAAATAAAAAATGCCAAAACTTTTTGCACATCTTGGGGTCACCTTCAATCATCGATTTAAAGATGTTTTTTGTGAAACATATGGAGATAACGAAAAGTATTCAAGCTCAGAAGTCCAACGAACAAATATGAGCAGAGAAAACACAGATCTCCAAAACATCAGAGGTAGGATCAGGTACCATGGAAGAGTGAGCATCTCCTGCCGACTGGTCACACCCACTGTGTGCTCTTTGTCATGACTCATGATCAGGAAATAATGGAAAAATCCGTAGTCAATTCAGTGTGTAAACACTGGACTAACAATTAGTATGAAAAACGTCAGTCAGCATTTGACTCAATGATGAATTGTATTTGCTAACAAGGTCATTGTATCGACCAAAGAACTGAAGACTTTAAACGAGACGGCTGATATTCTTGTTTCAGCAACTTGCAATTCGTTTTCAATAATTTACCTCCTTTTAAAAAAATGTTCATACATGTACGTAGAGCATGGTCTTGCGTATGGAATCAACTGACAGATATAAACTCCGTATGCATGTGATGAAGGCATATTGTTGCATAAGTAAGGGAAGTTGACGATAGAAAAGTAAAGTCATCCCGTTTATTATAGAGCTTGGTTGTTAGATTACCATTAACTTCTTTTTCAAGTAAAATATCCAAATATGAAACAGATGCGCCAGACTCTGTGGTATCTTTTATCTCAAACTTACCAAGATATATCGTATCTACATAAGAATGGAAATTACTATCATTAATTTACAATGCATCGTTGATATATCTAAATGTCGAATTGAAGGCCACAACAAGTGGTTTTTTTATGTATAGGATTTTGGACAAATTTTGCTTCATAAGAATACAAAAATAGGTCTGCTTATAAAAGGGTGCGTTTGGTTGATAAAGTAGACTATACAAGAATACATATCACGTTGAGATTGTATTGCATGTTAGGCATTTACTGTAAAACTAATTTAAACTTTTTTTATGAAGAAGCAAACAAATGTCAAATTTTGACAAATAATTATTTAATAAGATCAATTAAGTAATTGAAAGTTGAACAGAATTATAAAAAGCATGGAAAAACTTTGGATTTCTAGATTTTTCTCTGAAAACTCAGTAGACTATTGTTGTGACGTAATTGAATTGTAAAAGCCATGCAAGCTAAAAAAAAAAATAGCATCATCTATGCAAATCTAGGAAAGCCAAAAAAGTGAAGGTAATATTACAAGCTTTCGCCTAACTACAATATAAAGTCATCACTAATGATGTTATAACATTTACTTTTTTTTAGAAGTTTCAAATAAATTTATATCTGTTAAGATATTTTTTAAGCATTCTACGTTTTTGTATTCTGGACTAGTCTGATTGCTTTCCCTACATCCTAATTAGCATGACAAATGATGTTATTACATTGACTTTTTTAACAACTCGATAATTAGCTGGCAGATGCGTCAAGTGTGCATGATAAGGCAATTCTATCGATCCCATCTTCCGCTATGTTTGTTACAAGCGTAGCAGACACTTTCTAGAGACGACAAGCTCCTGAAACTCGCGGGCATCCAGCTCTATTCAAAAGGTAAGGACTTCTGCAAGGGTGACAAAACCCATTTCTGGATTTTTGGAACTCGTTTCAGGTTTGTTAATTTGATGATAATTGGATAATATCGAAGACCAATCGCCGCTACTTTAATATCAGAACAACCAGTAATCAATAGGCTTTCCTTACTGTGATTCCAAAACCAGACAAAGGACATTTAAATTGTTTTAAAATTAGAAGTCGCGCTGCCCAGGATTTGATATAAATAATATTGTGATGTGAATTCTGCGTGACTGAGTTTACTTCTCTTACAGAATGCTGGGACCGAGGTTGTATACGCTGCTCTCGTGTTTTCACGTCTTTCAAGCTTGGTCTCTAAGAAATGTTGATCTAACCCTCCCCGATTCGGGGATCCACAGTCACGACTCCAGGCACGGAGGGATCAGAATGGGGGTCCCTGATGACCTCTGTGACAACGGAAAGGTAGGATTGGAGGATGTTACACTTAACATCAAGATTTGTTTGTGTTTAACTTTCTATGTAGATAGATTTGAAATACGAAGGAGTTTGATATCTTTCATTAAAATTTTTAATAAATAAAATCTGCAGACGTTTAACATTTATTTTAAGTTTAATTCAGTATTTTGTAACTTGTATGATAATTTGAATCTATCATCACTAACTGAGTAACTTTCTTTTAAAATAACCTAAAATGAAGAATTACTTAAATGTGGACTGGAATCTCAAAGACCCCTCTCTCTATAGCTGCACATCACGACTGGTTGTACCTATAGCGCCGGTAAGTATAACATATGTCTATTCAGAAAAAAAGCCATTCATCGTAAAAGTGGGTTTATGGTAATTCAAATACATTAATGGTCTCAATTGATATAGATAAAACACTGATATTACATTAAACGGATCAATATTTCATGTTTTATTGTGCATTTGCTGTATAAATTTATTGTAACTTGAGTTATACGGAGTTTTGAGGGCGTGTATCTTATCTATATTTCATAGATGCGTTTATTTTTCATAATAATGAAAACGCACTGAATATAATGCATAAACAATTAGTACATTTTGATTTTTACTTTATTTTTTTTTAATATTTAAAGGAAATAAAGTCAAGGGCTTATTGCACGGATCATGAAGACATGGTAGGTCGAATAAATTAACGTTGGACAATTTGTATTGTCGTGTTTAATAAAATATTGCTATCATAGGGTGTAATTGTAGCACTCCATATGATATGTAATCAATTCTTCAGGGGAAATCGTGGTCCTCAAACAGCTGTGACTCGTATTAATATCACTTAACGAACTGATGCACCAGCAAAGCACAGTACTTAATCGTCATTAAACTACATTCTCTGAAAATGAACTATATTTTTTCTCCTCCCTAGGGAAGATTTGTCTCAGATATATTATTCAAGTCCAGCTCGAGTAAAGCTTAATTTCAGTACACTATTCTCTCATCTCATCTAAGTTAAATACGTCGGCTTAGTTTAAGCAAGTTGTTTCATCTCATTTGGACAGGGGTCTTAAATTGTGATGGTCTCTTTCAAAAATGTTTTGTTATGTCTTTTTTAAAAACATTTTATAAGTTGTGTATTTGACTCATCAAAAATATCAATACCGCTGCATGCGATATTAATAATAACTTTTATGAATATTAATTTTCAGCAACAATTTTCATTATATGCCTCAATGTGCTTCAAGGTTCTTTGCAAAGCTCCATAAACAGGTTAATTTCATCATGTTAATAAACATTGGTATCTAAAAATGGTGTGATAAAAAAACTTTTAATTATCTGAGAAGTTCAAAGAACTTCAAATTTAGAGGCATAAAATTATATAATAAGTGAAAACTGTATATCCATACTTTTTGAATTAAAAAAAAAAATTAAAAAGGAGCATATAACTTTTTGAATATTAAGAAATAGGTATAACAGGTTAACATTGATTGATTGTATATTGTAAAAGTGAACTGTATATCCATATCTGTAAAAAAAAAATATTTCACTAAGAAATAGGTATAGAACAAAAAGATGAACCATAAAACTACTTTACAAAACAGCTTAATTATTTAACTGCCTTTCTACTTCTGTAAAAAATGATTTTAAATATCTATAAAAATATCAACTTCTACATCCTTATAATATATATATAATATAAGATGTAATAAAAAAAAATCACAACACCGAAATAAACTCATCCGGTTTCATTTTCAATCTTCAGGAGTTGTATATCTACTCCATAAATCTCAATAAGCTGTAAATCTACTTATGTAAAAGTGGATGAGTTGTATGAATTATGCTAAGATAACGAACAGTACTCAAGCTCAGAAGTCGATTCAAGCAAACAAATCAGGGGCATAGCAATCACGGACCTCTAAAACATCAGAGATGGATCAGGTGCCATGGAGAAATGTACACCCTTATGTAAATTGCAAGTCGTTATGTTCCAATATTTATATTAACTCCAAAAATTCAGAAATTGAAAACATGCTTATCTTTTTTCATATAATTTCTTCTTCATTTCTTTATTTATAGCCTATTCATGTATGCATGAACGAAACAATCACGTATACAGAAACTATACCTTTAAGGTAAGAAAGTCACATTGTTATGTAAAAATTATTGTTAAGATTAAAGATCAAGATAACATAAAAAAAATCTAATCATGAGGAATAAGAACATACAAAAACTAAAAATTAACGTAAAGAGATATTTTAATGACTTTGTTACTTCAGAAAGCAGAACCACCGACAATTTACTGTTTTAAAAAATGAAACCTGTAGACGTGCACATATATTATAGACATATTACCGTTAACACGAGCAACTTATCCATAGAAACTTTACCATGAAGGCAAGAGATGTCGACTGTATTATGTTTTTGTTAAACACTGTTTTCTGTCACTTACTAACAATTTTTAATTGCCAATGAGTAACAAATTTTAATTGAAAATTCAAATTTTGTAGATGACACTACATGTATCTTCAAAAATATTAACCATGAGCAATTTAGTAAAATGATAACTACAGACTTGTTCGAGATATAATGCATAGTCAATGCTTCACTGATTTAGATGTTGACAAAATCAATTTTTCTCTTCAAGTGAAAGTCATCTAGATCTCCAACATTTGTCCCCGCTGTCTCATCGTTAATTCATTGATTGAATAAACTTTCAGAATTTCCCTCAAACGCCTCAGTCAAAACATTGCTTTAAAAAAAGAAGAAGATATTTTCACCATTACATTAATATTTATGCTCCATGCTGAACAATTTCTCTCTCTTAATTTGAATACTATCGGAAGCTGTTTTAGCTACCAATGTAATTAGAAAACTTATACTATATCTTAAACATTACTACCCACCCATTTCTATCTGACTTCTTTCATATAAAATAAAGCATTTTAATTTTTGACTGGATCAGATAGTATGGGTAAAGTGTAGATATTTTTCTTGCGATACGATAAGTTGCCAATTGACTACAAATACATATATCGTTGATGAAACGTCATTTATGAAATTAATTATAGTCACTTGCATTTGCCTTCAATATTAAAGTTTCGATAGATCTTAAATTTCAAATTACGAAAAAAAACCATCAACATCATTACTTTGAATAATTTATATTTATTAGTTCTATGTAGTAAATGTTTCACCATATTACACTTGCAGCTGATTTTAAAGACCCAATATCTATAGTATACTGAGTAATGCAGTCTTAATATGGATCTGTCTGCATAAAAAAATTTATCAACAATTTTTGCTAGAGATATATAAATGATAATGATCATATTTATGTCTGATTTTATACTGTGCTTGAAATAATGTTTCGTATTCAGATTACAATAATTTGTTTGTATAGAATAGTTAAGGTAAGTCACTCGTCAGCTTTTTAAAAAAGTTCACGCAGAAGCTTTTACTTCAAAACTACTTATTAAAATTCAATTTTTATAACATATTTGAATTCAACAATGTAAATTTTTTAACATTCAATGAAAATACTGCTCAAAAATCTACAAAGAAGCAAGATCTATGAGGGACTATTTCTTTTGGTGGAAGGATATTTAGCAGAAAATTCTGCAAATCTGCACATTTATAAAATTTAATGTAATGGAAATTTAGCCTCACATACTTTTACTCGGAGAATATTTTCCATTTGATATTGCTAAAAATATTTAATATAGGTCTTAATTTATATTTTTAGATAGTTTTATACCTTCCCTCAACAACCTTTTCCAAAAAATGAAAATATATTAAAGAAGTCATAAATTTACACCATGAATATCACATATTTTGACAAATATTTCAAAATTAGCATCAATGACCCCACCTTTTTCTTTCATTATTTTAAACTAGGTTTTATGACTGATCAGCACTCAAGTCGTAAAAAGTTTGATATAAGAAATTTTTTTATTGCCTATTAAATTTTTCAATACCCCAGATATGTTATTTTTTAGTGCAAAAAGGTCACTCAATAATTTACTTTGCATTAATTTGCAAGATTTGTTTAATGATAAATATTATTCAAACTATTTTACGTAAAATAAGATTAAATTTATTGCCATGCTTACATCTAATCAAATATAATAAGGGCTAAAGTAATTAACCAAAGAGATGAAATTTAAGTGCAAAAAGGTCAACAATTTTCTGCTAGAGATATATAAATGATTTTAATTGCGATTTTATGTTAATTTTATACTGTGCTTGAAATCATGTTTCGTATTCAAATTACAATAATTTGTTTGTATGGAATAGTTAAGGACAATGGCCTTAAATTGACGTCACAGTCAATTATTTACTGACAATTCACACAATTCTCGGACCACCACCCGCCCTAATCAACCAGAAGGTGTTTTTTTGCAAATTACAACTGCAATATTAAAAAAACTGCTCCTGAAATGAGCCTTTCAAAGTGTTAGATACGTGAATTGTTGTTCATCTAATATTACAAAAAATCGATGTATGCTAATTCAGCATTTCTTTCGCAATATCAATACATTAAATGCAAATACTAGTACATGTATAAGCTCCATGACCATCAGAAATCTAACATCAAATATTTTATTTATGATTTAGAATCCAAAATACTTATGGTACTTATGCTCAGTTTTAAAATTCGGTATATTGAATGCTAAAACGAATCGAAACATATGGTAAATTCTTGCATTTATATCTGAAAAGATCATCATATTTTTAAAAAATTGCAAATGCCTTTACAAAAAGCACTGCAGTCAATCGTAAAGTAATTTTCAAGTATGCAGAGCTATTGTGTTTCACAAAGTTGTTTTTTAACTTTAGTCATTTTAACCCTTATTTGACTTGAGTATTGAACAGTGAAAGGATCGAATCAAAGCCTGTAAATCACGAAAACAAGAATTCGCGAATAAAAATGTTTATTAGTAGCTTTTACGTGTATTTATATGAGTAATTCAATTCGACAGAGGCACTTATGATATCGCAAGCATTTCTCGAAAATACTTTCTAGTCTATTAAGTCCTTAACAGAAACAATTAATGACAAGAACTAAAAAGCATGACAAATTCATTTTTTCTGAAATGAATTGAAATGCTAAAGAGTGTAGCTTTAGGTATTGGGCAATACTAGTACATAGTCCTTTATTCAGTATCGTCTTATATATTTTTTGTTCCATTTAACAGCGGTCGGCATCGTCCTCTGTGGCCTGTTTATGGCGAGTATCTTTACCTTCCACCACAAAGATGGGTGCATTCCTTAGAGGTAATGTGAGTTATTTTGCATCTAGCTTGCCTTGTCCGCTGAAGAATAACTTTGAATATCTTACTTGTTATTTAAAACTTTTATTTATACATGATACCAGTTAAATTGATGATACTTGAACAATAATTTGAATAAACTATGAAAAATAGATTGAAAAGTTCACACAATTTTTTTAAAATCTCAACTAATCCTGAGAAAACATGGTCATGGAAGCTTAATTTAATCTCTTGCACAATTACCCTGAACTGTCAATGGATTCTTCCGTATTCCATCAAGACAAGGAGAACACAACGGATGTGATGTTTTGGAGGTCCATGTTTGCTCTGCTCCTGATTTTTGTCTTATTTGAAAGGACCTAAAAGCTTGAATACTGTTCCATCATCTCCATATTTCACATCAACTTGTTTGTCAATATCTTGCCTCGTTTTAGAAATTGTTCTAACGTACAGCATACTCTTGCGAATCTAATCAACAGGAAGACATTTACACCATTTGTAGGGGATTAGGGTATATTGCTACATACATGTAAGTGGGGGAGTTGAATTTGCTTATTCACATTTGTGTCCATAAAATTCTTGTTTTTATACTCATCTTTTGCTCATATTTTTATGTAACATTTACCATACCGCTTGGTAGATTTAACCTTATCCACTTATCAACAAATATAGTTTGTTTACGATATCAGCCTGGAGTCGTACTGAACCATCATTACGTATTTATACCTTTTATATAGAATGATTCTATGTCCATACATTATCCTTGTCTAATTCATTTACAGCATGGTGCTGTAGTCATGTTATATCATCCTTGTGCTAGAAAAGACGAGGTCCAAAAATTAAAAACCATAGTTGAGAGTTGTTTACGGCGACACGTGATTACACCGTATAATAAACTACCATTGGCAGAGGTAAACATATTCTTCTACTTGGTTTATTTAAGACTTTTACTGTTAAATTCAGACAAGATAATGTTATTTCCCCAAAAATAAGGAATATATTTAATATAAAGAATGAATTGATAATAAACGTGTGAACAAAGCAGAGAAAAGAATATATTTTATAAACGCATATTAATACTTGAAAATTACTGACAAAAGTATTCTTGAAAAAGAAACTAACTAATGCAACGATAAGCAAAATGTAAATTCCTATTTAAAAGATATATATTGTATATTGTCTATATTTCAGATTTTTACTTTTAACGTTACCTATTAGTGATTAAAATCTTATTTCAGAATCATTGTCTTGAAACCAAATTTACGTATTGTTATCAAATATTTCTAAAAAAAAATAATTCCGTAGCTCATTTAACAAGTTAAAACAACCTGAAAAAGTACATCGATATGGCAAGTTCATGTGGATTTTTATGACAGGTTCCTCCATTTTTTTCAGAAAATTTCTCATAATATTTTGATAATACACGGTAATAATGGAAATTGTCTTCTTTTTTTAATTTTCAGCCTTTTGCACTTGTGACTTATAAATGTCGACTTACCATGAATTATATAGATGAAGATGCTGTAATAAGATTTATTCAGGTAAGGGTTTGTCCACCTTATTCAGTGCCAACATAGACCTATAAAGTAGAGTATCGTCTTTAAATCGATGGTTCCACCAGTAACTGTTTGGTAAGCCAGGATTTCTCACCTTGTGTTTGTGACTTACCATTCTGTTAACTTCAAGTGACTTTACTTTCTGAATCTTTCTGTTTTGGAGAGAACTGTGCACTTTTTTGTTTGGTTGTTATTGTTTTTAAGAAGAGCATCAAGACAAGATAAAGTAATCCAATTGATATTCATTAATTTCTCTCTGTAGAAACATGCCCTTAAAGCACCGGAGCGAGCAGTGTGGAGAGATGGGGATTATGCTTTTGGTTTGTTAAAAACTAGCAAGACGCCATATGGGAGTAATGAGAAAGATTCCACGCTTTGTCCTCTACTGCGCATGTACGGAAATGCAGAATGAATGATGGCAACGGATGTGAACTCTAGTCATTTTTTTAAACATATGTTCATGTGATCGACACTTTATTTTATTAAAGAATTCTAACATTATTTTGTCTTTTTGTATTTTACAAGTCATACGGCATGCGAAGAACTTTCAATTTATTTCCTTATACATATACGTTACTTACTAGGTACAGTATATACTTACTAGGTACTAGTATGTGTTCTTTTAAGATTGAAGATCATAGTTTTCTTTGCTATAAATTATTTGAATTGTTAAAGAGACATATTGTAAAATACATAATAATTTTTCTCTTATAGAGCATTTATAGAGAACGTTACTCTTCTGTTTTACCTATGATTTGTGAATAGTTATATCCAGAAATGGGCCAACAATAAGATACAATGTAATGTCATAAGAAGCTTTTTACTGTTTAAAATTCTTGGTTAAAAAATCATTTATATCATTTTATATTTATTTTGTTTATTTTTAAAGATAGTTACATAAAGTGTAAAAACTATTTTTATTTTCAATAATTGTATCAAAACTATTTTTATTGAAAAAAAAATCGTGCAAAGGTTTAACTACTTTTTAATGTTTCACCCTGGTTTATCACAGATGGTTATAAAGGAAATATGAGTTAAATATCTTTGGAACAAGGTTTTCATATACATGTATAAAAATCGAACTATTTTAAATGACAAAATGAGACACAAGGTTGACGACCAAATGGTAACATTTAAGGATCATTTTTATGCTCTCGTTGACCTGCATGTAAAATTTTTACATGTATGCAAAATTTATTCTTATAATGTGCAAATGTAACTTTTGCAGTATCAAAGTATATTGCAAATATAGTTCTTTAGGTTCGATAGTTTCTCTTCAACTCAGTGTTCCTCCCTTTTACTGAGAACTTTATTATTATTATTTTGTTGTTCAAATGACATTTAAAATGAAAATTTGACATAATGTTTTAACAGTTGGTTACTTTTAATGCCCTTTTTGATGTAAAAAATAATGCATACAGTACACTGTATTTAATAAAATCGATGATGCGGCCCTTCGGATCAGACCATATAAACTGAGGTCTCGATTGCTGTTTGTACAGGTCTAAATCTGCAACCCTTAAAAGCAACTCTTGACATCTCAATATAAATGTGAAATATTCTGTGAGGCGTTAAAAAACAAATGCCTTGTCATAATCGGGCAGCGGTGAATTGATAGACAACTGATGTGAAAAAAGTAAACGATTTGTATCAGAAAAGACAGTCACCATTGGACTTTGCGATAGATTGTATTTTGACTAAAGCGTGAAAGTATCTTCAATCCGTTTGCCATTTGATTGGAATGTTTTAAATTTGTACGCACGTTAAAGTTATCTGGGTGTCGATTTATTTGGTATGTGCAGGTGATTACTACCTAAATAAGGACACATACAGGAATTAATAAGGTTCTATTTAAATTTACAGAGACCTGATTGACAAAAAATTAGAAAAGTTACCAAATAGATTACATTTCAGACGTTTTAACATAAATTTGTTCTGCGTAGGAAAAACAATTGTTTTCAGTTTATATGAAGATATACTCATCAAAATTATTTGAATTTAATTTTGTGGAAATTGAGCTTAGGACATTTGTTGTTTGTGTTGTTTTTAAATCTATATTTTAAAGTAAAAACATTTTTCTTTGTCAAGAAAACTAAAAGCATTTTTTCATCCTCGTCATCATAAGATTCTGAATTTAAAATTGTTGTCTGACATTAAATAGTTATAAATTCATTCAAAAAATATGTTAATGTTTTCTGAACTTTTAATCTGTACTGCATTACGATATTTTTTTCTTTCATCCAAGGAAAAAAATTCCTTACAACCAGTTTGTCTCTTTTGACACAATACAATACAATCAGTCTAATAGTGATGAATCCAGAAAGACGTAACATAAACCTTGAAGCGATTATGATAACTTTATTGTTTGATTGGCCATTACAATGAAAGAAGTTAATACAGATTATGATACTTTCTAATCTTTCTATATGAGTTGTGTCCTTTGAGAAATTTAAGTATGCTGCAAAACTGGTTATTTCAAAGTTTTTATGCAGACAGATCAATTCAACAATTTGTAATTAAATTGTCATATAAATAATGATGAAGAAATCATAAATATCAAATAATATATTCATCTATCTATAATAGGACATTTTCACCTTTCATGTATCTAATGTTAATGCCTCATTCACAGCTAAACATTAATTGTGGTTTCATATAGCAGAGTCTTAGATTTGATGTTCATCACTGACATTTTGTACTTCATGCTTTGGTACAATTTTTCCATTGTACATTTGTTATATTAAATGCTTCATCAATGACAACATTCGAACACTTTATACACCAAATAAGATGGAAATCCATTCTTGGTTTGAAGCTTGAAATAGAAAATATTCAGGAAACAGACTTTTACAGTAGAATTTTTATCCCAGAGCACAATAAATGGATAGTTATGAAAAAAAACTTTAAATCTATTATCTATCATCTATAAATTATACAATGAAATATATGGAGATAACGAACAGCTCAGAAGTTCATTAAACAATACAAAAGAGGAGTAGTGCAAACATGGACCTCCAAAACATCAGACGTGGGATCAGGCACCATAGAGAAGCTAACCGATCGGTCACACCCGCCGTGTGCTCCTTTTCATGATTGGGAAATAACGGAAAATCCGTCGACAATTCAGTGTGTAAATAATGGTCTAACAATATAAGAATGAAAAACGCCAGTCAGTGCTAATGTTTGACTTAGTCATAAATTCTATTTGCTGACAAGGTCATTGTATCAACCATAGAACTTGGTACGAAATGATGACTTTAACCGAGACTGCTGATATTCTTGTTTCAGCACTTTGTTTGTCAATAACTTACCTCGTTTTAAAAATTGTTAATGCGTAGAGGATTCTCTTGCGTATCGAATTAAGTAAGGCATATATATATATATATATATATATATATATATATATATATATATATATATATATATATATATATATATATATATATATATATATATATATATATATATATATACCCGTATGGAGGTGATGAAGGTACATTGATATGAATATGTAAATGAACTTGACAATTGAAAAGTTAAAGTCATCACGTTTGTCTAAAAGCTTGGTTGTTAGATTACCATTAACGTCTTCTTCAAGTAAAATATTTAAATACATGTGTATGAAACAAATGTGGCAGACTCTTTTATCCTGGTATCTTTTATCTCAAGCTCATTGGAATATATCATATCGACATAAGAATGGAAATAACTTTTGTTAATTGACAATACGTCGATATACGATATATCGAGATAGTAAATGTCGAATTATGGTCATTGATCTATATAATCATCGGCTTTAGACGGAAATTACAAAAAATCGCAAATAAATAGTGATTTACAGTATCTAAATGTCGAGTTGAAGGCCACAGCAAGTGTTTTCTCCTTTTCATGTATAAGATATTGGACAAATTCCTTTTGTAAAAGCAAAAAACACGTGTGTGACAGAAAGTTTTTTAACAAAATGATTTTGTGCCTGTTTGTTCCATTTTTTAATTTATCGCGAGGAATGGTTGATGAAAACGATTATAATACTGCACTGTGCACTATATGAAATAGGATTTTTTGATTATAAATGTTTTGATTATCTGAAAGAAGATATATATTTTAACACACAACAAAAAGAAAAATGACTATGAGCTAGATGAAAACGCACCTTGATATCTAAGTATTTATAGTTATTAATGGCGGTGAAAGAGAGGTGAAATCAGTGGTGTACACTGGCATTGCCTGTCTCTATCGTATATCGCACATGGTCAGCTGTTGCTTTTACAAAAGGACATTCTATCCCGATTTTTTTGTCCGTCTAAAGCCGATGCTCGTTTAAATTCCTCCCAAAAAAGGATGAAATATGATAGAGTCTACATTTATTATATAACTTTAAAATTAAGAGTTTTGAAATTTTGTAGAAGTCATGAAAATTTGTTTATATCGTTTATATGAAAAACTTGGACCTGTTCCTAGTAGTTTTTTATTAGTTATGTGTGAAATCAATGGAATCACGCAAAGGCCACATATTTCTCTACGCTCAAATACTTGCTGATTAATTTTTGCTAAATCTGAATTAATGGACGAGATTTGTAATGCAAAGGAGTCCTTGAGGCATGGTAGATAACACAGGTCAACTGGTCGTATCGAAGGAGTATAAAATATACTGGATTTGAGATGCTAAATGATGTTTTGATATACATAAATAAAACATTCATATAAACTTTTAGGTTATTCACAATTACCAATGCTCAGTGATATTCCAGCTATCATGTTTATGTTTTTTAAGTATGACATGTCAAAGCTGTGTTTTTGCGACATTTTGCGATTTGAAAATGGGGAGAAGTTAAAGAAGAATATTCAAAGATCATATTGAATTATAAAAGGACAGAGTAAAAATATTCATATTCCTGTTTCCAGCAGACTACAAATTATTTAAATACTGTAAATCACTTTTTATTGAATTATAAAAGGACAGTGTAAAAATATTCATATTCCTTAAGATTATATAAAGCAATAACCACAATTCCAGCAGACTACAAATTATTTAAATAACTATAATGTAAAGCATATAATACTCGCTATTTGAATCAAATTTTAATCTAGGGCAAACCTATATATGCCTCTCAGAGTTTTGGAATTCTCCCAAAATATTCTATTCACTTAACATCTTGGCCAACTCTTTTGAAGAAACCAATCCACTACACAACGTTATTTTTAAAAAGGTCACGTGAGTTTATAAAAAAAAAACATGAATTATCATTTATTACATATTATTAACTATTTTTTTGTCCTTCTAAGTACATTTATTGGTACTAAGTGCATATCACTGATAAGTCTAAACCATTTTTCACTTCATACATTTATTGCACATTGGTCCTTGATAAAAAGTACAAGTGAACGATTGTAGATATTGTAAAGAAATTGAAACATAAAGACACATAACACACTTGGATTGATAACAAAAATATTCATTTTAAAAAGTTCTTTTCAAAGTGCATTTAAAACAACAAAAAGATACAAAAGCAATACAGCCACAAAACACACACACACACACACCCTCTCTCTCTCTCTCTCTCTCTCACACACACACACACCCTCACACACAAATACTAGTATACTACCCGGTAATACCTCGAACACATATTTCCAGAAAGTGTATTAAGGCACATTTATGAAAATTTTTAACTTCATTACATACATTTTATCTTACTGGCAGATTTTAGTGTTGTTATTCATCTTAAAGACTGATTTTTTAATTAAAAAATGCTTTGATTGTTTTTATTGCTTTCCTCTTGGAAAATACTCATTTTAAGTAAGGAAAGACAATGGGTATGGTAAAAAAAAACCATGAAAATTAAGCTACCCAAAATTTCTTAAATTTTCAATTCTAATGCAAGAACAAATCTATATTGAATGTCAGGCAGCAGTATATTTATCGTTGCAGTAAATGCAGTATTCACGAAATCATACTCGTTATATCTCTTATTCAGAACACACAAAAAAATTGAGCATATCATCATCACTTGCCTTTACGTCTCTATATATTTTAATTAATGATAATGATCAACTTATCCAGTCAGTGAGGAATTCAAACTTTCTGTAGTCATGGTAAAGGTGCTGTTAATGAAGGAATTCGTGGTGAAGTTGCTCAATAAGGGAGCCACGGTGCTCACAACTGGGTCACAAGAACTTTTTGTGGAGTTTCCTCCAAAAATGTCTGGAATTGTGTCAAAGTCAAAGAGAGCTTTTCCCCACGTGTTGATTCCAAGATTTAGGACTAAGACAGCTATTGCGTTCATCATTAGACCAGCCAACGCCTATTTAAAAGATAAAGAACCTTGGTTACAATATTACTGAGATGGCTTTAGAAGCAAATCAGATAAACACAATTTTATCCATAACTGAAAGTACATATACTGTCCTACTGAAGTGAGTTTGATTACTTGTCTTTTATGTACTTTTGGTTTATTTTTACTTGCTAAATCTTAAAATGTCGTTCTTAAAAGATGTCTACTTGCTAAACCTTAGAATTTCGTTTTCAAAAGACATGCTTATATGCACCTTTTCTAAAAATGTTTTAAAATTGTACACTAGTTTAACAGATGACAACATTATTTTTGCTTGCAATAATTTGAGACATAACTGACATATAAAATATACTATATAGTAGTATTTTAATTCTATTTTTTTCTTCTTGTAGAATTCAGATATATGATTTATTTTCCAGTAAAACATATACGGTTTTTACCATATCTGGAATCTTGATATATCCTGTAGAATATACAATGGCGTTCGGAGGCGTGGCAACGGGAAGCATGAAGGCGAATGAGCATGCGACTGCTGCAGTTATCATCAGATACAAAGGATGAGACCCTGTGTTAACAGCCTGAATAGACAAAAGATTTTCCTGTTTAAAACAATATAATTTTGTTTAATACTAGATAAAAGAAAAAAATGCACTCACCAATTCCGCCATGATCGGCATAAGGATCGTGGCTGTGGCGCTGTTACTGGTGATTTCTGTAGCTCCAGCAATAGCCAGGGACAAAATCAAGTTCATTACCCAGGGTTCAAAGCTGTTAAGAACTCGCAGGCTGCAACCAACCTTCTTTGACAAACCGGATGCCTACGTATATTTTTTTCAGAATGACAATTATTTTTCTTTGTATTTAGTTTTTTTTTTCAGGTAACATGAATAGAAAGTTGAAGAGTTGAAATCATATTAAACGATGATATCAATTTTGTTCAGAACTTACGGAAGTAGCAGAGGCCAAAGCAAATCCACCGCCTAAAAGAATGATAACTCCCCAGGGAATCTTAACAACTGTCTCTTTCCAAGTAAGAATCGGTCGGTATCTCGGCTGACGGTCTTCCTCTGACACTAAAACAGAATTTAAAGCATTTATTATAGGAGTCATACAAATAATTTTGTGAAAAAGTTTTTATGAAACTATCATGAGTAAATACAGAATGTATTAGAGTTTGATTTTGGCACATTATGCGTACATCTTTTCAAGTAGAAGGCTGAATTTTGATTAGCCCCGGTAAGTTTAAATCTGGAGTGAATTTTTTTTCAATACCATACCAGTTTGGAGAAAATTGGTCAGGTACTACAGATGTATTGTTAGTCTTTACCTTCGTACTTTTTAGAACAAGTAACTTCCGGTAGATGTGCAGGTAGTATGAACAACATGACAGCTATCAACATGGCCGCAGTTGAGTCACGAACAAATGATCTGTAATGAAGAAAATAACACTCATTGAAGTTTTATCTTTTCTATACAATTTTGTCAGTCTATGCATGATTTAACAATACTAAGCTAACTCTTTTTTATCGTTCTCTTTGAATAGAACTTTCCATCCACCGAAACCTGGAATGTCACGGAAGATCCAGAGAGAGGCCAGAATACCAAACAGAATCATGACAACAACCTCTCCAAACCTGGGAAAACGGAAACAAAAGAAAAATTAACTCATCAATAACTGATTTATAAACAATTAAGGTAAACCATTCATGCAGTTGTAAATGTACATACTTTATTGGTCCAAGTTTTCTCTTTTCTTCATCTATTATCAACTTTATTGCTTTCCTTTTGGCAGGATTTTCTCTTCGGAAACATCTGGTTATAAAAAAGAATTAATTCGAAAAAATAAAAGAAAGGTTACATCTTGTAAAATATATATCAAACAGAATATACAATTATAAGGCTCACTCAAAATATATTCAACGAATATACAGTAGATAGAGTTAACAACTAAATATAACTTTTCTCTCTAAGTTTCATCATTCAGAAGAAGCCTTACGAGAAGCCAAGAAACATGACTTGGAGCCAAATCCAGGCCAGCACCAGTACAATAACAGAAAGAGGAAACCCGAATCCCATCCATTTAGCAAAGGTGATTCCGCTATCCATTCCCGGAGCTCGACTAGAGTATATCCTGTCCACAAACAAAATGATGCAGATAGTACAATGGTAACGTTAAGGTACTTTAAATTAAAGTAACATTTAGAAGTATAAATCTGAAATAAACTTCAACGTACTCATTGGCCTGTCCCTGCAAAATGAGATTTGGGGGCGTGCCAGTGAGTGTTGCCACGCCTCCAATATTTGCTGCATAGGCAACACACAAAGCAAAGCCCTTGCTCATTTTCTTTATTTCTGCTTCTTTCCTTTTCCTAGATTTTAGATCCACAGATTCATTAATTGGTATTTTTAAATCTTAATTTCAAGATAAGGACAAGGTCCTTCTTCAATATCAGCTAGCTACTCTTTTTTTCATATGATAAAACTATTTAATAATTCATATATCTATGATACAATGCAAATAGACGTTTAAGAGAATATTTGTCTTTGGTCTTACGTTTCCTTAACATCACTTTCTTCATCGTGTGTTGCGTTTCCATTTGAAATTTTCTCTTCTTTGTCTTCTTCACTTTCACCAATTTCCATGTCGTCAAATCCCTCGTTTTTCACACCTCCATTTTCTGTAGATTTTAAGATTTTATAAATATTTTATTTTCGAATTATCACAATCTTAAAAGTATGATTGTGTAGATTAAACTCTTACGCGTTCTTTCACTTGTCTCCAATTCCGCTGTCTGGGTTGCTAAAGCTGTTATAATCGGAACCATCATAGATGTCGCTGCTGTATTACTGATCCACATGGACAAAAACCACGTGGGTATCATTAACCCAAGCATCAATCTGCAATAAATGAAATCTATTGTATTTTCGTTTAAGTGAATTCAAATTAATTATAATTTTGGTTATCAAATAACGTGTTCCTCACAGATTGGTCCTGGATCCGACCAGAGAGAGGATAGCCATTGCTATACGTTTATGGAGGTTGACCTCTTCTACGGCTACAGCTACAATAAGCCCGCCTAGGAACAGCATAGACGTGTCCTACAGAAACAATAGAATAATAGCTACAAATGTGTTGCTTTGTTGCTAATTCAATTTAATTAATATTAATTTCTTGTTTGTAGAAAGATTTTTCAAGTTAATTGTTAGACAGCTAGATTTTTTTTTCGAAGTGCTTATTTTCTTTACTTCTTCGACACAGATCATAAAATTTGTTGTGTTAAGATTTGTTTTGTCCTAGTTTTGAGGAGAGATGCAGGTGTATTTCTAACCTGCATTCACTATTTAGAAAAAAAATTACGAATGAAAAAAATCATACGTTTCTCTTTAAATGATGGCTGCAAACATTTTTCTTTCATAAATTCATTGTGGCTTCTGTTGCCTTTGAGATTGTGTTTAACTTTTAACGTTTTTTGCCTGGTTGACTGGCCAAAATGAAACACGGAAATTTGACGATTCTACAGTAATAAGAAATTTGATCATTACCTGCGTAATTCGATTCGGTTTTCTCACCCTTTACATGTAAACTCTCAATCTCTTATTTTGATTTATATGTTATGCAAAATAACGCAATATTTCGCACATTATTTTTTCCATGGGTTTATTATAATATATTGATTTTAATCTTTACAAACACAGTATGGAAAATGTGTTGCAATGTTTCTCAAACGCTTGAAAAAAAAAGTAATTTGGATGCAATGTTTTTTACTCTTATAGCCCATCAAACGAGAATAGGGTTTTCACTTATTTTTTATTAATCAAAGATGATTCATAAAAATAATATGAAATTTTCTTAAATTTCCTATAAGAAATCAAAAATGTGAATGTTGTACGTATAAAAGTACATGTATCTTGGAATTCCTTTGGGATTTTTCAACAACAAATTATGAAATGGAACATGATTTATCTTTAATGAAATAAAGTTAATTATATATTTTTTTAGATGATGAAGTTGTTTGATTATTCACAATTAAACTTTAATTGTATCAGAAATTATAAATATTTAAAAAGCTTTATTGCATAATACCGGTATGTCATTACATTTCCGAAGGAGAGATGTTCTTACCTGGCTGAATTTGTTTTCAGAACACACTTTTTTAACCTTCAAATTTTTATGTACAAACTTCCTTTAAAAGATAAGAATTATTACGTAATGTTTTAAGGACATTTTTTGAAATACCTCAAAGGCATCGACTGCTCAAAATAAAAACATTCATTTACAATACATGTAGATGCTGTGGTGCATTAAACTAGAAAAACCTTTATATGCATGTAGATATTTTGAAAGATTTCATTGCAATTCCTTCCCATTACTACAATGTGCTTCTAAATCCTGATGTTTCTTTCTTACGTTTACGTAGGCAGCACAGATCTTTTTTCCAGGCAACACTCCAAACATAGGGATGAGAAACACGGGCATCAATGCTGTAACCGGAATAGGCAAGGTTTCCGTCAACCATAGAATGGCCATCACCACTACAACGTAGGCGCATCGTGACTCCTTGAGAGAAAAATCATTGCATTTCTTTATATAATGATCCACCTCAAACTGTTTTATTATACCCTGCTTTAAAAGCAATGAGGTGTTTGACCATATTGATGTCTGTCCGTCCATCCATCCTTTGCGCTTTGGGGTACCCAACTCTTATCCGCAACTCCTCATTTATGAATGAATAAATTTAATAAGACTTTCAAAGAATCATTGTTACATAGTGTCATTATACACTTCTATTTTACTTTTTGATCAGACACATATTTCGGGTTTACCATAGCAAAACATGGGCACTGCTATTTTTTCTGTAATACCGTATAAGTGCAAATTTAGCTCTTTTTTCCTTAAAAATTAATAGTTTATTTTTATAAAATGTAATTTGAGCGACTTTTAAATACTCACTTTAGAAGCTATTACAAATAAAACGCAATTAATTTTTTTAGCGATATTCAATTTTAGCGATTTCAGCACCCTCGCTAATAATGCTAGAATTAAATCCTTGCTAAAAATTCTGCTTATACGGTATCGAAGGGTACCCATCTCTTATCAGCAACTCCTTTTATACCACTGAATGAAATTTAATGAGACTTTCACTGAATCTTTGTTACATAGTGTCATTGTGCAAATCCTACTTTAGTTTTTGATTGAACACTTGTTTCTGGTCTCCCATAGCAAAACATGGACTTTGCCATTATAAGCATATACGAGTTGGGGCTCACTGAAATATATTCCGCAAACCGTTTTGTAAATAGACTCTTTTCTACGTTCTTAATTTTTCATTTTATGGGAATCCCACTGCAATGATTAATGCATGGTCATTTTGAACAAAGAGTATTTATCAAAAATATTTTGCAATATTTGAGAGTTTTAACCATGTGACCCCCCATAAATCCAACTTTCATTCTAATGTAAACAAAAATGTGGTCTTTGTGTTTTTTGCACATGCATTTTTGTTCTAAGGAGTGTACCTTCATCTCTTTATGACATGATAGTGGAGTGTCCATCTATCAAGCTCGATTTGATATCTAAAATTTAATTACCGTAAATACTTATTCACTTTTTTCTCGTGTTCAGTTTATTTTTTTACATTCTATATTACGATTTAACCTTATTGCAGTGCACATTAAAACATGTGTTCATTATGCATGTCTCTGGTTATCATATTTTGATCTTAAAAATTTGCATTGACAATGAACATTTTTTATTTATTTATCTTTAAGAGGAAAAATCAACTTACCACCGCACCGTCATCCAAGAGTGGAAGAGGGGCAAGAAAAGCAATCGGCACCAAGAACAGGGGACGTAATGCCACAAGATTCTTTAAGAGTAGAACGCAATTCCTCCTCGTCATTTTGCTTCTTTATTTACCTTTGCCAGGTAAGAGGCCATCAATTACAGCAGATCCGTAAACCCTCTGTGAACTTTTCTCTGTCAAGCGTGACCATACAGCTTCCTGGCTCATCTGTCATTCGTCAACAAATCAATATAGATTTGACGATTTTGACGAAAACGAGATTACACTCGTGAAAGGCAGAATTTACCTTTAAGAATATTGGATAAAAAAAGACTTGACAGGGTCTCGTATATCATTAAACATTTATCACTTTCCTCTTGCTTATTTTATCACGTCTCCTATTCATTTATAAACAAAACAATTGGCCCAATAACGGACACTACCCTGTTATCAGTTTAATATCTAATTCATGCTTTTTATGTAAAGTAAACATTTATTTTTCTTAACAGCATTTCAAATGGAGCGCATCGACATTGAAATTTACAGAAATCATAGTCATAACTCATAGACTGCATCAAATTTTGACGCTAATTTTGCAAAAATGTAACCTACACCAATTTTTGCTTAAAATTTTTAAGTTAATACTTCCCGCGACCTTTAACATGTTTGACATGCAACAAATCTGTATTACTTTTAAAATTTGTAATTTTTATCCAATTATGAAATTCTTCTAAACCTTTTTATAAGGTGTGTGTTGTTATAAGCTTGAAAATACATTTTTACGAGCAATACCTCAAGGAAAGATCACTTTCTTTAAACAACAGGATAATTACAGATTAATTTTTTACTTA